AAAATTGGAGAATGTTTTTGCTTTCTTTTAAGCAGTTAAACCTCACAATAGATGCCCTACTGGTAGGTAGCTGGTTGCAGCAGTTCCTTTGACTGTACCAGTAGTACAGTATCTGCAGTATCAGATCTGCAGAGCCGCACTACTACTCTTACTTCATACAGTGGGTACGGAAAGTATTCAGACCCCCTTAAATTTTTCATTCTTTGTTATATTGCAGCCATATGCTAAAATCATTTAAGTTCATTTTTTTTCCTCATTAATGTACACACAGCACCCCATATTGACAGAAAAACACAGAATTTTTGACATTTTTGCAGATTTATTAAAAAAGAAAAACTGAAATATCACATGGTCATAAGTATTCCTTTAAAAGTTTAACGGGGTCTGAATACTTTCCGTACCCACTGTACACTCTTCTCTCTTTCTCACTGCATCATCAACCTGCTTTTAACCTGTGAAAGCTAAAACAATTTTAAATGGATTATGGGGGACCCATATAAAAGACACAAAGGTTAAAAATGATTATGCTTTTCATCCCTGATATTAAAATACTCCACAGTAAACCTGGCTCAAGGGAGGCAAAGAGAGACAACCTGGCAAGCAGATTTATACTCCCTTGATATTGTGGAGGGGAAAGGATTTGACCATAATTTTCACTTTTATTGGTTCTGTTTTAGTGGTGTTGATTCAACTGTGGTGCTCCTGAAGTGTGTTCCATTATATAGAGGTGTTTTTATTTATCTAATGTGATGTACCCAACAGCCTGGCAACTGGGTGGACGCAATGTCAACATGAGAGAAAGCAGCAGTGCCAAATACTTTGTGTTTACATATGAAACCCATTATATCATCTTTGACATTTGTTAAACATATTTTGCAGGATAAATTGTTTGTTCTGTTCATTTGTGTGCACTAATAGTTCAAAAACAGCTATTAATACTTTGTGCAAACATTTATTTAAAAGCATGCTATTTTAATTAGCATGTATAAATTATCAAAAAATGTACCCAAGATACCCACTGGGCTTTGTAAATAAATGAATGGGATACTTTCTCGATCACTGAAGTACTTTAGATCTATAAAGAGAGGATCAGTTTAATTTCTACAGCACAAAAATCATATTGCTAAAGGTAGGACCACACTTAATGACTGCTGCACCGATTATAAATTGGATTAGGGTGTGGAATAACCTCAAGAGCCATTCACACCAGACGTCATAAGAATATGGCTGAGTTGAAGCAGTTCTTTAGGGAAAAATGGTCCAAAATTCCTCCTGAACACTGTGCGAGTCTAGCCCACAGCTACAGGAGGCGCTTGCTTGAGGGTATTGCTGACAAAGGTGGTTCAACCAGTTATTAGACACTGTTGCCATCCCTTTTCACCATTACTTTGTATGTTTAATGGGTGTGTTCAATAAAGACAAGAAAGATCATGACCGTTTGTGTTTTATCAGCTTGGAAATACTGTGTCTGTTGATATGTGTGACTTTGCTGAAGATCAGATCATATTTCATGACCAATTTAGGCAGAAAACCAGGCAATTGTAAATAGTGCCCTTACCTTTTCGGCTGTAATATAACAAAGAGTGAAAAATTTAAGGGGGTCTGAATACTTTCCGTACCCACTGTATATTTGCACAGCTACATACACAGCTTCTGTCACATTTAAAACTGGAGTGTATTAAGTTTTTGAATGCCATTTATTTAGCTGCCTTATATTAAGGCTCAGAAGAAGAAACAACTGCTGAAACTAAACAGCTTTTATTGTTTAGTATTTTTATTTTCTTCTCATTGAAAACTGACCAAACAGAAGCATTATGTTGAGTTTAGAATAAGCCCCTCAAGGTACAGTCAACTGAACGTGTCACACACATTCAGCAGTAAAGCCAGAAGGGCAGTGGCGGTCTAAAAGTCAGAGGTGGCTAATGAAACAGTTTCTTGGGTCAATCTCCAAATTAGGAATGGCTAACAAAGCGGTCCTCAACTCTGAACTGCTCCAGTGGAGTGGGTCAACAAATATGACTGTGGTCTCACTGTGCAGTTTTCAGGTGTATATACTAGAACAATGGGTCTCATTCACCATCATCTTTCTAAGTGTTTTCATAAATTTATTCACAGGTTGTTCTTAAGAAAGGTCCTAAGAAAAGTCAAATGTCAAAAAAAACAAAAAAAAAACAAAACTATCTTCAAAAACAAAAAGGAAAGGTCCTAAGAAAAGTCAAATGTCAAAAAAAACAAAAAAAAAACAAAACTATCTTCAGAGACAAAAAGGACCAGGAGTCCTGCAACAGGTGGTCCGGTCCCCTCAGAGTCCTGACCTCAGCATCACGGGGTCAGCGTGGGATCACATGAAGACACAGATGACAGCGAGATGGTCTGAATCCACAGAACAACCGTGGTGAGTTCTCCAAAATGCGGGGAACAACCTACCTGCAAAGTACCTTGAACAACTGCGTGCACATGACGACGCTCCTCATTCAGTTGTTAAAAGACAAAGGACAGTCACAGCTAATATTGATTTGATTCTTCTCTCTTTACTGCACTTTGTCTGAAGCTCATTGATGAATAAAAACTATTCATGGCATTAGTTCTGACATCATTCTCACTTTACTTTCAGTGCCTAAACCTTTATGTGTGTCATTATAAACTCCCCAAATTAACTGTGTCTTCTAAAGTAGGTCGTGCTTCATCACAAAATTAAGACTAGAGTACGGTGACCGGAGATGTACACTATTAAAGTACCTTCAAGTGGTTTTCTCCTTTAATGCACAGTCATGAGATAGCTTTTCTTTATATTATCAGAAAGAAATCAAAAACATCTAAATCCCAAAACGATATTTAGTTGAAATGGTGAATGTCCCGTTCAGAGAGATAATCCGTCCTCACTGTGAGTTGCTGACATTTTACTTAAACACAGTTTTGCATCTGTATGTCTGGAAATCTATCTAACAGTTTTAATGGGGTTACTATTCTTACCATGTAAGTTCCCCCGAAAAGAGCGGCCATGAATTTGCTCAGGAGAGCAGCACACAGGCTGGCGACATGGACAAAGGGACCCTGAAAGGGCGGACAAAGAGGGAGATAAGAATGTTTAAAACACAGGATATGACTGAAAGCACATTTTATCACCGGGTATTCAGGGAAATCATTCAAAACCATTAAACCCTGCTCAAATTCTAATTCAAACTACTTTTCATGTGTCATTAGCAGTAAATGTCTTTTTTATTTTCGCAGCCATGAGACTAGAAAGTTATTAGATCATCCCAACAAATGAAGGGTAGAAAATCAGCTTTTTACCTCCTTCCCCAGAGGCATCCCACTGCCCAGGGCACAGGTCAGACCAATCACCTTAGCCACAAACGTCTTAAAAGTCAGATACTCCTTCAGGACCACCCCCCTCAGTATCGTCTTCATCTCAGGAATACCTGAACCTGGAAAACGCAAAAAAAGAGATGCCAAGTGATGGAGTGGAGAAAAAATATGAGTTGAAAGAAAGCAATTACAAAGAGAGGGATGAGAAGAATAAATGAGCAGCAAAGGAGATGTGGTGAGGGGAAAGGCTGATTGATATTCATGTAGTTTTCTGTATGCACATAAACATTATAAACGTACAGGTCCTTCGAGGCCTTACGATGCACTGTAGACCTAGTTACAGTACTCAGACATAGAAACGTAACCATAAATTATAGATATGAATGCATATGTTTACACACAAATGATTTAAGTGTGTATCTTACCCACAGCCTGAGGTGCCAGAATCTGTGTGAATCCTGCAGAGAAAGTGATGAGCACTACAGGGTAGGTGACCCAGGCGATGTACTGCAGAAGCATGTTACTGTCCAGTCCACTATACATCCACTTCTGTGCTGCACACAGACACACACAAGGATCTTAGAACAGTCCAGCAGAAAAACCATTTCTGTTGGAAACAGATTAATCATTTGACCTTCTCCCCATGTTATTCTTACATCTCTGCCTTATTCACGTGTTTTTTTCACCTATAGCAGCTCGGCAGCCACCTCCACCTCCTCATTTGCAAATAGGCGATTAAACCATTTTATAAAACAGGAAAAGTAGAGTAAGTGCTACTTGTGCATTTACACAAAGACATCTACATTTAAGAATGCACCCTCTGTCTGCCTCTGTTGATGTTTTTACATCTTTCTGGAAACCAGAGTGGATAAATATGCAGTGGATGTGGAACACGGAGTTTGCCTCAAAAATTAGAAACAAATGTTTTTACACTTTCCAGTGTTGTCACTTATCTCACAACCTCTGAAATTGACTTTGTGATCCCCTTTAGGACCCTCATGATCACTCATTTTACACATATAGCAGGCACTGTCACTAAGATTTATGTGTGTGTTTTTGAGAGATGACTTCATCATCATAAAAACAACAATTAGACTGATGTCTCAACACACACATACACCAGTTTGCCAGGTTAATGGTGGTGATTATGGGTGCCCATTAAATACCTATTTTCTGCTCATTCAGTTGTTGGACAACAAGAGATGAAAATTATGTAAATCAGAATGACTAAACTACAAATTCAGATGCATCAACACACAGCGCAGGTGTTGAAAGAGAGCAGGAGGGCACTAAAGAAACATTTAACCAGAGTAACCAGGATGCCCCACTCTTTACCAGATGTTAGCTGTGATGCACAGCTTCGCTGGTTCCCTTATTTCAGGATGACTATCAACATCTTTGTAGCAGTTAAATTTGTTTGGAAAGCCAGAATTTTCAATAACTGGGAATTAATTCAAGGGTCAGTATTAACACCGGTGCATCTGATGCCATGTGGGAGTAAAAATCAACTCGGTGTCAGCATGTCATTCAGTTTGTATTAACATTTTTCTCTACTGCATCTGTGAGAACAGTTTGATATTCACTAGACATTCGTCTTTGTAACTCCTTCCTCTCTGCCTCTCTGTCTCTTTCCTACCTTCTTGACAGAAGGCGATGGCGTAGTCCATGACCCAGCTGACCAGAGCCATGAGCAACCCCAGCAGAATGAGAAAGATCCAGTCCTCTCCTACCCGCGAGATCAGGAACTTCTGACAGCGAGATGCACACACTGAGGGCACAGAGACATAAAAGAGAGGAAAGCAAAAGTTTTAGAGATGCAAGGGGACTGCAGAGAGATCCATGTTGGTGTGAGGCTGAAAGAATCGACAGTGTCAGAGAGGAAGGGCGAAAAAGGAGCAAATATGTACTGTAGCGACAGAGGAGAAAAATATGAAGACAAGAAAGACGAAACACATTTCATATGCACACAGTTAAAAGTGTTATGTACTGTAGTTTATTAAATAGAGCAGAGAGAACTTGGACAATATGATGACAAGTAGCATAAGACTTTATACATTTGTCATTTTTCACCTCAGATATTGATTTAACAAGCAAGCACACCAGTACAGGCGACCTTACAAATCACTGAGCAGGACGCATTTAGGGAAATATGGGATTAATCAGTGATTGAATGTCAGGTATTTAATGAACTGATTAAATTAAAAGAGATCATTTATATTTATCCATAAATGGTTTTTAAGTTGAATTTCCAGCAATATTATTACTAAACATAGTTGGCCACAACTGTGGTCTAATTTGGAAGAAATAAAACTGGACATGTTTCTCTTCACCTGGAAATACAGTGAATACTCAGATTATTTATGAGGACCAAGAAAGACAGATGAAACACGTATCCTCTCATGCAGTACAGTATGAATAAAGGATGGGATATTATAAACACAATCAGGAGAGTGGACAGAGTGTTCCGTATTTACCATGCGTCAAGTAAAATGGAAAAGAACAACAAAAAAACTGAAGGAGTTTATTAGGTGGTGAGCGTCACATTATTTTCATCCACCTCAAATACAGGAATAAGGAGACAAAGCAAAGCTGGGTCACGGCTGTAAACTCTACCATTACATTAGAATCGACAATGTCGAGCTAGGACAGCTAAAAGAAGCATCAATGGACTCATTTCTTCACTCTTGTCTGTGGACACTCCCAAAGCCTGGAATTCACTTCAATATCCAGAGCATTCATAGATGTGCCCATTCCCACAGGAGCTAAAATGTGCTACTAGCACATTTACCTGATCTATATTTCATACAAAATGCTACAGTTGTGACACCTCAAGCTTTTTTTAGTAAATAGAACTTATTAGAACTCATTTAGTGTCATTTGTTATGGAGAAAACCCAAATTTTTGGAGAGACCCACAGAGAGGAACAGACAGCGAGGGGTCACACAGACAGTGCTGCCCGAAGGTGACAGTGTATTATTTTGTTGATCTTACCAATACTGTGAGAAGTGCCTGGGTAGTCAAATCCAGAAAAAAGCTTATTCTTCCGTGCCACAAACCTCAGTGCTAAGCCTCACTGCTGCACTTCCTGTCATGCTGAGCTGCAACTAATAATTACTGTCATCATTAGTCATCTGCCTATTATTTTCTCAATTAATTGTTTTGATTAGAAAACACTGAAAACATCACTTCTGTCTGGAAAAAAGTTTCACACTGAAAATAAAAAGAATGGGTCCAAATTGTTTTTAAATAAAAAAAAAAAATGTGCACAAAATGTGACAAAAATGTCAGATACAGTGTTATCTCCCTTTTCTTCGAGTAAGCTGTTTGAATGACATCGTTACTGCAGAAACATATTAAAAGAAAAAAGACAGACATTGCAGCGTTATTTCTGGTGCAGGATTCAGGTCACACAGGGATGTTCAGTCTCTCGGGGGAGGTAGGGTACCACTGTGTGTATGACAAGGCAAGCTGCCCAGCAGCTGGGTCACCTGCTGGATGGCAAGTGGCCAACAGAGAACATGGAAACACAGACACACTCACACAGATGAACCTGTCAGAGTGAACACACACCAAGATACAGAGAAATATCTAAAGATAAATCTATATGTGCAGATTGCACTTCCACCTTCTTCACTGGATCTACACCGTTCAGCCATAACATCATGACCACCAGCCTAATACACAGGAGGCAGTGCTGTAGTTGGTTGGTATCCGTGTCACTCTGCAGGTCACTGTGCATCTTCTGTGAATCCGTTTGTTTCCATAGTTCTACTGTCAGGAAGAGCACAAATGTGTCAACCATTCAGTGAAAAACTTGTGTAAAAGGAGTGAAAACTGTGGTCATGAGGATGAGTTGGAGAGAATTTTTTAGATAAATTCAACAGCCTCCCCACTCTAGGTGTGATAACACCACTACAGCCCCCGACTCTTTCTCTTCATAGAGACCAGTGTTTCTCATTTTCAACCATTTTAACAAAGGTTCAAACAAAATAGAATCTTTTGAAAACGATGAATGAAATTGAAAGGTTTAATCTACAGTAGGTTGACCTCATTATCAGAGAGCCTTGGGCATCCATGACACCCAGCGGTTCACTCTTTGTCCTTCCTTGGACAACTGTTAGTAGGCACTAACCACTGTAGACCAATAACACCCAGCAAGACCTGCAGTGTGGGAGAAGCTCTGACCCAGTCACCATCACAGTTTAGCCTTTGTCAAAGTCCCTCCAATCCTTAAGCTTGTCCAGTTTTCCTGCTACCAACACATCAACTTCCAGGACTGAATGTTCACCTGCTGCCTGATATGCATCACACACTGACAGGTGCCATGGTAACTAAATAATCAATGTTATTCACTTCATGTCATAATGTTATGGCTGATCAGTGTATATTTTTACATATTTTACAGTTCATTCCCATGTGAGAGAAACTAGGGAAATTGTTGTTCCTTCAACTCCATCTTTATTACTCTATCTCACACACATTTTTTCTGGCACCTGCACCTATCTTGACTCACTCTCACAGCTGCAGGCTCAGTGGCATTCACAGACATCTTCCTGATCCTATAATAAAAAATCACTCCCAACACCAGACATTTTCTCCACCTCCATCACAGTCCCTGACACCAATGAGTTGTAATCAACAATAATACTAACACAAGATTTTTCATCTATGAGCAGTAGATTCAAACACATACACAAAGATGCGACATAATACACTGATGCCATCCAACTTATACAATCCCTTAAAGATTCACACTAAAAGTCAACATAAACCCAACGAGGCAGGGCATGTTTTAGCTCTCCATCACGACCAGCAGCGGAGGCTTGAGCTGCATGTGTAGGCTGCCTTGTTCAAAAGCTGCAGCTCCAGTTACTGATCTCAACCGAGGCACACACTCGTAGTCCATCACCCGCAGAGATGATGTTCCCACACATAAATACATGAGATAAAAACACTAAAACTCCCACTTCCACCAGATCTGAAGGTTCTCTCTTCACACATTACTTAACAAGAATACAGCGGAGCAGCCGGAGGGTCTGTCTAAAGCTGAAGCTAAAAATATGAACACCTCTTGATTTACAACCGCACAAATCACTCTGACTGGCTCCTGATTTGAGAGTGATTGTTTTAAATGGCTTCCATTAGAGCGACTGAGGCTGGCCTGACATAGTGCAGCTTTCACCTATAGTGCAGTTTATCGTGCTTTAATCAGATCAGTAGTCACAAGGGCACAGAGGCAAAGACAGAGCCTGGGAAACAGCCATGTTACCTCACTTGTGCAAACACGTAAAAATTAACACTCTGCCATTTTTTCCTATGTTTTCTCTCACTTTTAGTGAGATTATCTAATATGTTATGTTATCCAGCTGAAATGGTAGTTATTTTCTCAGTTTGCTGATTAATAAATTGGTCCATAACTGTGGCCAACCCAAAGCCTGAATCAAGACAAACGAAACTACATTCGTCATGATCTGGGGGTGGATTCAGTGATTTACAGTGTGGGCAACAATTTAAGCCTCTTTTTTTTAGCCTGTGTTTGTTTACATTATGGTTCACTGATACCAAATAATATCAAATATCACCAAACAAGTATCAAATCATTCTTTATCACTTCCCAAAATCATACTCATAAAATATTTTCTCACTCTCCTCTAGGTGGGTGGATCATTTGGGTGTTATGAGCTCCATCTTCAAGTGTCATTCACTGCATCAGTACTGAACTTTATTTGTGGAATTCACAGCACTGAAGAAAAAAAAAAGCACTGCAATATGTCTTTGCAAAAGCAGTGTCCCTGTTACTGTGGATAATCCCCACACCTCACAGTCAATTTTTTATGTGGACTGATAGTAGAAAGCGGCTCTAATTTAAATTTGGATGAACTGATCGTTTAAGAAATTCATGGCTGCTCTGGTGACTAGCAAAACATGTCCTTTGATTTCAGTAACTTGCATAAATGAAGGTTAAACAAAGTCTTAATAAAAATGAGAACATTTGGAGGACGCAGACATACACACGGTCACAGTTTGCCACTCCATCAATTGTTGAGTACATCTGTCTGAAGTACAGCCTTCTTCTGGTGCCACTCCCTTATCTGCAGTCATTTTGGAGGACTAGACATACAAATCAACTGACAGCTCAGATTGGAGCCCTAGTCACACATACAAAAATACACCCAGCAAATCAAACATCTCTACACACATAGACATGCACGGGGGGCTGGCAGAGGGGGCTGTCCTTGTCTAACACTGAGACAGCCCTGCTGCACCAATCATTCACATTTATTCATGTTCACATACTATCCTGCTCCCTTGTGGCAGGTAGCCAGTCTGCAGTACTTTAAGAAGGTTTCAGACAAGTTTCACGCTTGTTGTAGAACTGCAGTCTGCTGCACAAGACTGCTTTCAGACCACACACACACACCAGGTCCACTTTTGTTTACCTTCATTAAACACTGCTTAATCTGCCTTTTAGGATATGTTTGTGCACTGCACTACCTGCATGCTTTGTCCCTGCAAGAACACTCTGAAGAATATTTTAGGGTTTCCTTCCACTTACATTGGCATTTTGCACAAGGGTCTTTCTCATACTCCAGGAGATCTGCAGCACGGCTGCGAATGCTGGTGTTCCTCCGCAGCCCTGCTCCATCCCGCACTCCTCCGTCTCGTAGGCGGGCTGCTTCCTCCTTGGCATACACACCCAGCTCCTGGGTGTACCGCCCATACATCTGTGTATATGAAAGACAGAAAAAGAGAGTTTTTATACAGGTGCTGTACTGTAGTGTATGTGGGAAGCACTGAACGCACTTTAAATTGAAACAGTTTAGGGTCACAGTTAAAGACAGGCAGCTTCTATGAACACACCGAGGTTTGAACTCAGAGCAAAGAGAGCCAGGTATCACAAAAAGTAATGCCTGTAAATCATAACTCCCCATAAATCACAGCTTTTCTCAAGTCTCTGTTAGAAAATCATATCCACTCAGCAGTGGTGTAAGGACTTCTTTTCAGACAGATGAGCAGACAATAAGCTCCACCTGTGAGCTCCCGACTGATTAACTCTGCAGGGCTGCTACACACTTGACTTCTAACAACAAGAGGCGGAGTTCTTAGCAAACTACACATGAGCAGTCATATATAAAACCTGTGTTTGAGGAATGCTTAATACTGTTTTGTAGCTTTTGCCAGTGTGTAGATGGAAAAGCCCACAATGGCGCTTTTCAAGAGTCTGTTTTGTGTGGTGGTTGTTTGGGCTGCTGGTGTGACTGCCCAGAGTCACTGGAGCCACCCTCTGCAGCAATACCAATCTTCTCTTCCTTCTCAGCTGCCTGAGCAACCAAAGGTCCTTCCACCTGAAGCTCTCTCTGATGAATGCCAAGTGGAGGAGCATGAGAAGATCCAGTGTGGGACTCCAAATATCACATCTGAGCAGTGTGAAAATATAAAGTGCTGCTTTAATGGGCAGCAGTGCTACTATGGGAAAGCAGGTAGAGTATTTTCTCATAAGCACTGGAGGAATAACAAATCTCTGAACTACAACAGAAACGTGTCTGTCTTCTCATTTAGTGACTGTGCAGTGTACCAGGGATGGCCAATTTGTGGTGATCGTGGCTCGACAAGTCATTCTGCCCCATGTAGATGTGGAATCGCTCAGCCTGCTGGAACCAAGTGACCTGTCTTGTAGTCCTGTTGGTGTCACCTCTGCATTTGTCATCTTTCAGTTCCCTGTGACTGCATGTGGTACTGCACTCAAGGTAGGTGAAGGCTTTGATTAAGTGAGGTGAGAGCTGTAACATGTAGAGCTGTAGGTGATGGCAAACTTATCAATAACAGTTTGTTGTCTAGCTCCTATGGAAGTAAAGAGTGGGGGGGGGGCACAATGGCCCCAGGTTTAGCTGAAGACTGTCATACTCTTCCCTATAGTTCCTGTATGTAACATGTCAAAGTGAAAATACTGTTGGGGCTTAAAGACAAATCAACCATAGCATCTAGAATTGAGTGCTTCTTCATATGAATGATCCAGGAAAGTGACCAATTTGTTTTTTAATCTGCAAATTTTTCAAAACATGCAATCTACAGGAAGAAGATGGTTATGTGGTTTATGAAAACCACATGTCTTCCTCATATGAAGTGGGAATTGGTCCCAGAGGCTCAATCACCAGAGACAGCCATTTTGAGTGAGTTGGTGTACAACTACTTTTTTTTTGTGGCCCACTGAGATTTTCTATAAAGTCCTATCTTCCAACAGGTTATTGTTCCAGTGCCGATATTATGGTACTGCTGTGGAAGCGCTTGTTTTTGAGACAACTGCTATTCCTCCTCCTGTGCCGGTTGCAGCTTCAGGCCCCCTCAGAGTGGAGCTCAGACTGGGCAATGGACAGTGTTACTCAAAGGGATGTGTGGAGGGTACGTGTCTCAAAGGCCTGTAATGTGCCACCTAGTGCAAAATTGGATATTCTAAAACAGTGCTGTGTTCCTTGCAGAAAAGGCAGCGTATAGCTCCTTCTACACTCTAGCAGACTACCCAGTCACTAAAGCACTCAGGGAACCTGTGTACGTTGAGGTGCGGATCCTGGAGAGGTCGGATCCAAACATTGTCTTGAACCTGGAGTACTGCTGGGCCACATCTACCTCCAACCCTCAGAGCCTTCCACAGTGGGATCTCCTGATTGATGGGTATGTAAAACAGATCAAATAACTGGGTTGTGTAAAAACTCTGCAATGCTCTAATAAACATGATCTTCCTTGGCTCCAGGTGTCCCTATGCTGATGATCACTACCTGACCACAGTGGTGCCTGTGGATGAATCCTCTGGGCTGCTTTACCCAACCCACTACAAACGCTTCATCATTAAAATGTTCACGTTTGTGGATCAAACCACCTTGACTCCTGATAAGGGCATGGTAGAGTCCAGCTTGCTTGCATTGATCTCCTTGACAAATCTAACTGTACTTGTTCCAACATGCAGCTTGTGTACTCTACAGGTGTTCATTCACTGTTCAACGGCAGTGTGTTATCCCAGCAGCACGGACTCCTGTGAGCAGCCATGTCACCGCCAGCGTGAGTAGCTCCTTAGAAGTTGTAGCTGCAATTTGGATATAGTTCAGTGTAACTATAATTGAGTTGAGGGTAGGGTAACTGGAGCTGCATAGCTTTTGGTAAGATCTGTGTACATAATTTGCATATGGCAAACCCTAACCAACTCCTAAGTTGGAGGAAAGCTGGGAGTGGTGTATACCTGCCTACATAGGTTACAAGAGCCGAAGATGAACAAAGCAAATATCACTAGAGATGGAACCTGACAATATTTGGCAGTTGAATAAAGTGAATGCATTTCTCTTTCAGCAGTAATGTAAAACAAATCTGAAGTGACAGATCTAATTTCCTTCTCTTGCAGGGAGAGCAATAGCTGCAGTGAGGACAGTCTCCTCAGAGCAAAGAGCTGTCGTCTCAAGTGGAAAGCTGATCCTGACAGAACAGAGGACTGCATCCGCTCCAAAGGCCCAAGTCCACTGGCAGCCATAGTTGGCTATGATCTTATTAAAATTTGTTAAAAGCTCATGCTTCAACTGTCTTTTCTGAATTGCTATTTGAAGGGTTATTATTGGCTATAATTTTTGCTGAGGTAGGTTTTCATTCAGAGTGAGCCAGTTAACCTTCTGTGCTGAAAATGCAAGATTGCATTACATGTAGCTATAAGTTGGAGTGAGGGCATACAAAACTAATTAGCCCTGAAAATAAGTGGCTGAGGTGTGTAATTCTAGGAATGGTTGTAAACTGTTTACAGTACTGGTGGCATGAACATGATTCAGACTTTCCTCCCCTCAAAACGTCTCTACCATGCCACACTCTCATTGGTGTGAGCAGCACAACTCTGGACTTGCTGATCTACTTCCCCTTTTTTCTGATCAGTCCCTCCAGGTTTCTCTGGAGGCTATACCTTGCAACATCTCTCCTCCACTGCTTTGTGCACCACCTTGATCACTGGGCCCCCTCTGCCTCTTTTGAGATGGGCATCGCGACTCTTTCTGCTCACATGAACACGAGGTGCAGAGGGGAAAGCAAAAGCAGCCATATCGGGTTCAGTCTGACAGACGAGCAGAGGGCTATGCTGTCGGGATGCTCATCTTCCATTTCAATCTCCATCCTGCTGGGAAATGTTTGTGCAAGACTGCTATAAATCATATCCAAATATCAGCATGGCCTCATCTAAGCCACAGATTGTGGAGGAATGAGCTGATGGGTGTGAAGTGATCAATCTGAAAGGCTGCTGTGTGGCCATGTCAGAAATGTAAGGTTTTGTCACATGTTCAAAATTCTTTCAAGGCCCACTGCTGGATTTAAAGTAGGCTGTGACATGCTAATAAAATTAAGAGACAACTGGACCCTCTTATGCATTTGTTATATAGGAACTAACACTTAGATTTAAGTTTTTCTGATGTAAACATTTCTTTTAAAGAACTAAGTGCTCGAAATGATCCCAGATCCAGTGTAGACGGGAGGAACCACTGTAGTGGCCGATATGTTAGTGCTCATATTTGCTGTTTTAAGAGACTTAAATTAATTTATCCTTTAAATGTAATTGTAACACTTGGTATTCTAGCATTGTTTGCCTTTGTGATGCGAAGACAACGCAACCTTCACACCGCAGTGGTCAGCCTAATTCCTAAAACTCCGTAAGGCATACAAATGTGATGTCATTTCTGCCCATAAATTGCTTTGTCTTTTGCCCTTACTGGAAAGTGACAGTTGAGAAAAAAGAATTACAGCATGCATCAAACATCTGGCCAGAACCAAACGGGGGACACTAGATAAAATATAAATCACTTTGATTCCAATAGTATTGTTCAATTATGCACTTTAGGACATGCACCTGTCAGTGAACCCATATTCACACAGCACTGATTCTGACTGATGTCCAGTCATAGTGCATTCAGTGTGTTGTCTGTTATAAAGCTCACTGATTATATGGCTAAAGGCTCCATGACCAAATGTTTGCAGTACTGTCACATCAAGATAGTTTTAACTGTACTGTGAATCGCAGCTGAGATGACAACGAAGCTCACTGGGGAGTCCCACTGCTAAGAGTTACTGATTCAGTCACTGTCAGTGATTCACTAATCTCTGAGTGCAGTCAGTTCACTTCAAAGGTTTCAGAGGCTTCTCCTCTGTAGCGAGAGAAGGATCTTCTACCCTGACAGTATATAAATTCATTGTACACTCATCCACCTGTTAATATCCTACATGCACTCTACAGTACAGTTACATTTAGACAAAAACATCCAAATAAAATATGAAAAGCCCAAAATGGTGACAGAATCATTAAGACCATGTTACTATTTTCTAAAATAAATGGCCCATATCTGTCAAGCACTAAAGCTTCTGACCTGTGAGAAACTGCATGGAGGGACACGAGCATTCTCCACAGTGGTAACTGGTCTACATTCTACCACTATATTTATCTCTACACTGGGAAATAAAATGTATTCACAGAGTTTCAACTTTGCTTCTGAAACTTGTTTTTGCAAACACAATCGCCTGCACCCACTCATGTAGTATAGTTACACAAACCAAGACAAACTCTCATTAGGAGCATAAACTGGGCCTGACCGTTTCTTTCTTCAGCCTGTGTGAAAGCAATCACTGGCCATCTGGAGCACGGCCCCCTGGGTGAGCAGCAGGTGGGCCCCTGTGGGTTAAATGAGCTGTTCTCTGTAACCAGTTTACCTCCCACATGACCAACTTCTGCATCTACATTAGTCAGCTGACCTCCCACATCACAACCCTTTAAACCAGCTCAACTCCCACTAGTTGCTATAAACTGGTCATAAACCATTTTCAGTGCAAAGTGTTTTACACAGGAATAAAATGTGTTTACCACAAATGAATGTGAGTAAAACTGAGGTCCAACTCACATTCATTTAACAAATTCAGGTGGACAATCAGCATCCTGGAGCCAAAAACAATCTTAATTTGGACACAAAGAAGAGGAAAACTCTCATGGTTGACTGTGACAGGCTGAGGCACTTGTCAATCATTGCTCACATCCTAATTCTCTTCCTCATTATCTCCTTGTTTGAACAATAATTCTCATATTTACCACCTAATAAGATAAAAAATATTGACTGTGCACCTGGTGGCATCCAGGTCTACATCCTGAGACACAGGCTTTCCCACTCAGAGGGGAAGGTTTTGTTTGGTCAAAATGATCTGGGAAACTGGGACAATGACCATATACTCAAATGTAATCATCTTAATATTACTGAGTGTGTTGGCAAATCAATGAGCAGGACAGCTTTATGAAAATGTTGGATTTACAACATTGCTGCATCAATGTCCATCCATCATCTAAACGGCCTATCCTGAAGAGGGTCGTGGGGGCTGGAGATAATCCCAGCTGACATCGGGTGAGAGGCGAGGTCCACCCTGGACAGGTCGCCAGTCTATCACAGGGCTGACACTTAGAGACGGACAATCACACACACCCACCTACACTCACACTCACTCCTAGGGGCAATTTATAGTCATCAATCGACCTAAGCTACATGTCTTTGGGAGGAAGTCTGAGTACCCGACACAGAAAGGCCAGGGCTCAAACCCAGAACCTTCTTGCTGTGAGGCGACCGCACTAACCACCACGTCACCATGCCGCCCCCTGCATCACTGTGAGCACTTTAATTTCTCAGCAATTGAATTCACTGGATAAGCCAACAACAGCCATTCTTGTTGCTATTCTATCTATGAATAATTTCTCCGTGGCATTTCCAAAAAAAAAACTCTATAAAGCTATAGTATGTAACGTTTTTCAAATATTACTGTTTTAGAAATCTGCTCCAAAACTTTTCTTAATGTGGAGAGGTGCTGTTGAAGCCTCCTGTGACCCAGATCATTGAACAGCACTGACTGCAGTGCAGAGATATTAGCTTGAAAGATTTTGAGCGAGATTGACCTCTCTAACCAATCAGGGATTTTCAATTATTTCTGCTTGATCAGTAAGTTCTGTTGTATTCTCATTTACTGTACATTTTGTATCGACAAAGATCTGAAGAGCTGGGCAGCGCATGGTGGAGCGTAGCAGATCGTGGCACAGCATAGTGGAGCAGGGAGAGGGAGCGCTGGGCCGAGCAGAGTGGACAAATTTGGAGTTTCATGCTAGCGCTACCTTAAGTTACATACTGTAGCTTTAAATTCCATCACAGAAGACTTTAACCATATTGCTCACAGGAACTTGACAACTGATAATAAGTCTTGTTACAGACACACTGGTATCTGTGTATATATCAACTACAGAGGAAACTGACAAGCCTCATTCAGTGTGTCCCTTGATCAGAATTAAAGGGATCCATAACAAGATTATTTATGTTACAAGTTTATGCTTTGAAAAAGTACTACCAGCCGATATATTGTCACTAAATACAGTATGTACTAGCAAGGGACGTACTCTCATCATTACCCTACTGCAACTTACATTTCACTCTCCAGCAGTGCTGACTGAACAGGATCACAAGAAGAGATCACCACATGTCCACCGACTTTCTTCTATGTACTGCTACATCGCTCACTTTGCCACCATGTGCAAGCCTAGCACAACAGATGAGATAAAAAGGTCTCTATTATTCAGCAATTCCCGAGGCACTGTGGGATAATTTATTCATTGTGAGGAGACAGCAAGGACAAATATTTGAGTCTGATGAAGGCTTGAACATCTAAAACCTTCATCCTCGCTGCTTTTATTAAATACATATTCATAGGATGATTTTAATCTGTTCTTGTTTGTAGTGTGTTGAGAGTGTCATCGCTGGGTCAGACCCTCCTACACACTGTTGTGGTGGTGTATTGATGGGACCAGGGGAATAACAGGAGGACTCACCGGAGGACTAAAGCACTCTAGACTAATCTGAACCAGCGGTTTCCAGGAACAATGTTAACAAATTAAATTAGAGGAGAATCTGACAAAGGCAGGTGCACATTTGGGGACTACATTTGCATTCATATAGGTAGCCAAGACTGCTTTAAGTATAGTTAGATGAGTCAGAGCTCACACACACACAACCGCTCATGCACAGTGAAATAAACATGCAAAACCTTGATGCTGTTAAGCAGAGCTATAAACACATGAAACCCTCGAACACCATGCACTCATATTATATTAGTAGGAAGCAGCATGGCGGGCGGAGAAGGCTTGAGGGGGGTGTCAGAAAGACCGAGGGATCAAGCTGAGGGAGTGACATCTCGTCTGAGCTCGCTGTGTCATGTACCTCATGACACTCATTTACAGAGATTACGTTCACAACAGGTTTAAAATGAGTTGGGAGGCAGAGCAAGGAAACAGAAGCCGCACTGTGGTTTTGTGAACATAAGCTATGCACATAGTAATATTTTAGTCTGAATAATAAAAGGGTTTTTTCCTGTGATGCAAAGAAAAGACATCTTAACCACAGTTTTAAATTTAACCACTGATTACATTTGTGAGGTGCAGTACTCAGTTTTATGCTGATTTATGCTTCTATACTCCGCTACAGCTGCTGCTTAACTGTATTTTATTATACAGTTTGTTATTT